TTACCACATCTATATGATATTGTACTGAAGGTCACTGACTGCATGATAAGAGAAAAAACCAACGGAATATGTAAGTATTGGAAAAGACAAAACCCAGAGCTGGTCGTTATTTGTGAATTATATGATCGTCTATATAGAAAACCCAGAAGAATCTACAAATTATTCTGAACTAATAAAAAAAATTTAGCCAGCTTGGTAGTTTCAAGATTAACAAAAATTGATTTACAAAAATCAATTGTGGTCCTAAAGAACAGCAACAGGCTATTAAACTGCAAATTTTAAAAAGTTATTTATAACAGCAAAAAACAAAAAATCCAGAAGGTGCCTAGGAACAAATCTAACTTATAAATAAAGGTAATGGGTTTATAATGAACACCATTATAAAATTTCATAACAGACATAAAAGAAAACCTAAAACTACAGAGAAAGACATCATATTCATGGATGGGAGGGTTCCATGTTGTAGATATAAATTTCCCCAAAATTAATCTCTAAACGCAATGCAGTTCTATGAGCTTGTGTTTGTGAAGGGGTGTTTGTATGTGTGTCTATGTATATATATAAACCAACAATATAATCCTAACAACCATATGGAAAAACAAACGGCCAAGAGTAGCCAAGACAATTTTAAAGGAAGAAAAAGAATTACAGCGGGATACCCCCTCACAGAAACTGACTTCTTACAGAGGTATAGTGATTAAGGTGGTATAGCTTTAACTCATATGTGAGAGCCAAAAAGCAAGCTGAAATTTGATTTGGAAAGTCACAAAATTTGGGAAAGGTTAAAATTGAGGCAGCCGTCCAGATAATAAATAATGACCCATACAAAGTTATATTATCATAACATTTCAGAACACTGAGCATAAACAAAACATCCTAAAAACTTCCAGAGAAAGAGGGAAAGGTTATAGTAGAAGGATTGAGAATTAGAATGGCACCAGATGTCTCAACAGTAAATTAGAAGACAATGCAATGCCTTCTAAATTCTAAGAGAAAAATAATTCCAAATCTATAATACTATGTCCAGACAAACTATCAATCAAGTAGGAGGATAGAAATGAAGGCATTTTTCAGACATGCAAGATTATGGAATATTTACTTCCAGTGGAACTTCTCTCAGGCAACTACCACCAAACGAGGACAAAGACAGACACGGGATCCAGGAAACAGAGGATCCAATATTAGAGAGCAACACACTGAATTCCATGATGAGGAAAGGTTGTCCTAGGATGATAATTCTGCAGTAGGCCTACAGAACATTCAAGATTAGAATGGGAGAATGCAAGACTCCAGTGAAGACATCTCCAAAGGATAAAAGGGAACCACTAAGTTATTTAATGTGTCTGAGAGGGAAAGAAATTGCTAAATTACTTAATGTGCGGTGGAGAGTTTGGGGATAAATTGGTGAATTACACAGAAAACTAAGCAAAGCAAAGTGGTCACTTACTTTAGTGAGAAGAAAAAGTTGTTCAAGAAAAGAAATGTAATTAAAATAAACTGCATGCACAGCTACGAATAAGTTTTGTATAATCATAAAAAAATTGAACAGGATTTAATGAAAGATTATGTATTAATTACAATGGGGAGATAGGAAGTATATAGGTTGGGTGAGATGTGGGCAAGAAATCTGAATCTTCCATGGTAGAAAATTAATAGATAATATCTAAAAATACATAATCATTAAGAGACTATAAAACAAATATGATAATAACAAATATGTAAGTAAATGAAACAACAGAAGAAAGAGCCAAAAGATAAATGTCTGCCTCTAGTAAAAGAGATTTGGCTATGGGAAGAACTAGGATAAAGGAATGCTGTTTTTTGTGATAAGTCTTCCTAAAATATTTATAGATCACTTTGATAAAAAATAAAATGGAAATAAAACAAATAAAAAGGTTTCTTCATTATAATTTTGTAAATGGAGGACCAACATGCTATTATGTCCAGGAAAATTATTTTAGGATCATCAATAAAGAAGACATCAACTAAGAAGACACACAATGATTTCAGGAATACATTTGATCAGGGGAAACTTATAGACACAGAAATAGTACTCAGTGCATTCTGGAATGCATGGGGATCTGGAAGGCCAGACATCAGACTTCAGGAGAGAAGCCTCAGCTGTGAGTCTAAGGGGCTTATAACATGCAGGTCTGGGGAAACACAAGCTCTTACCGTGGAATTCTTTTTCAGCGTAGCTATCTCCTCTCTGGAACTGTGGCCCACAACTTTGATGCCACGGCCTCCCTGACTTGAATCTGTGTTTCCTCAACTCAGGAAGACCACCATGCTCTTTCTCCCTTCTCATGTCATACCTGGCACTATCCACTTCCCACTTTATACTTCACACACATGCAGTTATCCTGAAGCAACATAATTCCATATACCCATCTTACATTGTTTGTGTGACCGTTGACATATCTTTTACTCCTACATATGTCACAAACTCCACATCACAATGTTATTCTTTTTGCTTTTAACAGTCAGAGGCCTTTCATGTAAATTTTAAAAGAAAGATAATATAGCCTTTTTCTTTATCCTACAGATCTTATTTATCACATCTGATATTCTTTATCCTATAGTTCTAAGTATCCAAATGGTATCATTTCTTTTGGCATGAAGGACATTCTGTAGCATCCAGACCTGTGGAGATTAATCTCTCTTCTTTCATTTATCTGAAAATGGCTTTAATTCACCTTAGTTTTTGAAGGATATTTTTGCTTGATATAGAATTCCTTGTTTACAGATTTTTTTTTTCTTTCAGCACTTAAAAGATACTATTCCATGATTTCTGATGAGAGGTCAGTGGTTATTCTTACCATTTTTCCACAGTATGCAATGTATTTTTTCTTCTGGATACTTTCAATTTTTTTCTTTCTCTTTAATTTTCAGCAGTTTAATTGTGATGAGGCCAGGTGTGGCTCCTTTTATAACCTTGAAATATGCTAAGATTCTTAGATCTGTGTTTTTCATCACATTTGGCAAGTTTGAGCCATCAATTCTACAAATTTTACTGCTCCTCCCTCTTCTCCTTCTAGGATTCCAATCATATGAATCCCTGAGCCTATATTTATTTTGCTTCAATCTTTCTCTCTCTCTTCTTCAGACTGGATAATCTCTATTGATCTGTCTTCAAATTCACTGGCTCTTCCTTCTCTCATCTCTAATCCACTGTTAACCTCCTCCTGTGAATTTCTTATTTCTATTACTGTACTTTTCAAGTTCTAAAAGGTCCATTTGATTTATTTTTCTCCTGAGATTTCTTATCTGTGCAATCTGTAAAACTATATTTTCTTTTGATTCTTTAAACATATTTATGATAGTTTCATTAAGTTTCTGCTAAGTCCAATGTCTGTGCTACCCAGGTTTCTATTGACTACTTTTATTTTTTAACTCTGTGTTACAATCCCTACCCAACCCCTCATTTTTGTTTAGTCTTGTGATTTCTGACTGAATGCTGGTCCTTGTCAATAAGCCATTGTAGAGAGTATGGATTCTGTTATCTTCCTCCAAAGAATACTAATTCTTATTTAAGCAGATTAAAAAAAATACTCACTGATCTCCTTGAATACGGGTTGGCTTACAATTACATTCTTTGAGGGCAGATTTATAAAAAGTCTAAGATTCATCTAAAGTCCCTTAATTTGGAGGACCACTTTCAAACTCTGTGGATCTTATAAGGACTTGGATTTAGGCTGTTAGGTTTAGAGTAAGTCTTATATGTTACAAAGGTGTTAACTGTCTCTACAGGGCTGAAATTCCAATGTACCCCAGCACTGTTTCTCCTCCAGCACTGCTTGATTTCCATTAATCTGTTGGATTTTCAAATGGGTAGCATCTACTACTTGGTAAGTCTCATATGGTCTTATACTGCAGTGTGTACAGCCCCACCTTCATGAGATCCCCCATACGGATACTTCAGGCCCTCTCTCTGCACAGCTCCTTACTCCCCAATGTCAAGCCCTGCAGATTCCAGCTGCCTCAGCTAACTCAGCTCTGATCTTTCCTCCTCAGCTCTGTATGACTGCTATCCTCTGCTCTAACTCTAGTTTTTTGCACTGTCCCAATCCTGGGAAATTGTGAGGCACACCTCATGAATTCATTTCTCTCAGAGATAACAGTCTTGTGCTGCCTGCTGTCCACTGCCTGAAAACAGCTGTCTCAAATATTGTGTCCAGTTTTATAGCTGTTTATAGTGAGAGGACAATTTGGTACCAATTACTCCCTCCATCATGGCCAGGCAGAAGTGAGATAATCTCTTTTTTAAAAGTTATCTCCTTAGCATAAATTTTCAGAAGTCAAATTACTGGTCTAGAATAATGTGACATTTTCATGGTCTTTGGAATGTATTATACTAAACTGTTCTCCAAAAATGTTTCTGCCAATTAAAATGATGTATATTTGGACCTCTGCTATACAGCCACGAAACTGAAGTCAAAACAAAACAAAAACAGAATAAAATTGCAGCATATAAACTTTTAACTAAGTGAAAAAAAACAATTGAGGGGCCTACGGTTAGCAGAACTAAAGCAAATGGTAATATAAAACTGAATCAACCTAGAGAACTTTCTGATAAAATCTGAACACTGTCCCTCAGGAAAACTAGACAACTAGGAAAGAAAGATAAAAAAAAAAAGTGAAGAAGGAGTCACATTTTCTTTTTCCATGTGCGATTTATTTTCTTCATCCCTCTGGAACTGTGAAAATATCTCAAGCACAATAATAAACAGTTCAGCTAAAGAAGCAACAAACAAGGGTCTCATAAAAAGCATACTGTATCAATCTTAAGATCATTAATATCAACAACTGAAAATGGCATATGACTTTACAGACAAGCCCTATTATAAATAAGTATGCCTAAATGCCTTTGTGTAAGGAGGTGGAGCATAGAAAGACGGATGGATGGATAGATAATATAAATAGATGGTTTCCAAAAGATAAAGACAGGTAGCAAAGGAAATGTCTGTGGGTAAAATAATTTAAGATTTATCTTTATTTACCGTTCCATCTTCCATCAGCTTCAGACAAGAACCAAAATCTGCTAACCGAATATGTCCATTCATATCCATCAATATATTGTCAGGTTTGATATCCCTGAAAAAATAGACATATTCAATTTTTAGTTGGGAAAAATAAATATAATCAGTTACTTGGTAAGATAACATTTTTGTCTGAAAATAACTTCCTTTAATATTAATACTCTAAGAATATCTATCTGACTACTTTATGGGTTCAAATCCTGGCTTTCATTCAAATTAAAACTTTCTTAAACACATGCAATTTCAGTGTTCCCCTAGAGATAAAAAGTACCGTGGTAATTCTCATTCACGTTAAATTAATTTTACCCTCCTTCCTTTAGATTTGCACAGATTCCAGTGTGACTATGGTAGGCCTACTTTCTGCACACAGAGAAGAGCCATAATCACTTGATACTCACAAAACATACTATCCTCTAACACATGAATTGGACAGGGAAAAATATACTTCCTAGACCCTGAACGTAAATGTAGATAAATAAATTTTCAATTACTGCAGGTCATGACAACACAAAAGAATTGCTTCATAAAGCTGATTTTGGAAAACAACTGAAACAACTACTTAATAATGATCTATATATTATACAAAGCTACTTACAGATATTAAATCAAAGGTTTTTAAGATATCCAAATCTAATTAAAACAAACTAAATCATACCAGTTTTTGTATTTGTCTTTATATTTGAATACTGAAAAGTGTTACAAGCCTTGGGAAAATCATACACAAAATGATTTTGTACAGAAGACTCAGTAATGTAGTTTCTAATCACACTCTAAAGATTGTAATTGTGAAAAACTAACAGATTAGACCCTCTGAATTTACTTTTTTAGAGGAAGAAAAATAATCTTCTATGGACATTATATACGTAAAAAAAATTCTATTGCCACATGGTTAATCGGAGTATGGTCAGGTCATTAAACCTAAATGATGCCACTTAAGGTCTCTATGCCTCAGTTTTCCCACCTGTAATATGGGGATATTAGCACTACCTTGATGGCTGAAGTAACTTCTATGAATGCGTTGTACATCACAGGTTGGCAAATTATGACCCATGGGCCAAATCCAGCCCACTGCTGGTTTTTGTAAAGTTTTATTAGCACACAGCCACACCCATTAATTTAAGTATTATCTATGGCAGCTTTACCACTACAATGGCAGAGCTGAGTAGTTCTGATAGGGACTATGGTCTTCAAAGCCTAAAATATTTCCTACCTGGCCCTTTACAGGAAAAGTTTGCCAACCCCTATTGTAGATGACAGATGATTGCTTAACAGAGACAGGCAGACAGATAGACTGAAAGCAACAACCTGTATAGGAAATTGGCTTCATAATCCTCAACATTTGAATTTATCCTGAACTGTCAGAAAAGCTATATTAAGAAAAGATTTTCTGTTGTTTGATAACATCAAAGAAGTATACTTTAGTGCGGGAAGGAACCTTAGAAATTACCTACACCATTTTTAGATGAGGAAGAAAATGTATTTTATTCTTTATTAAAAAAATATTAAGCTATATAATAGTCACTATACCTAATTGCTACCGGTATATTTCTCAGGTTTTAAAGGAGACCAAAGAAATTACAAAGACAGGATTTTAAAACATCAATAATAATTTTGGCTATTTAAAAAATAGGATATTAAAATTTAATAAGACAAACTATATTTATATATTTCTAACAAATAATAATTAATGAAATGGACAATATTTAACAAGACATTAGAGATAGTACTGACATGCCCTAAGTATCCCATTACCATTCCTGATATTACCCCCTCTCTCCACTCCTCAGAGGTGAGCAACCACCATCCTGAATTGGGTGTTTACCACATCCATGCATATTTTATATGACTAGTACATATATACGCAACCATAAGACTACGTAAAGTATTTTTCTGAAAGTCTTTGAACTTTATAATTGATAAGAAACTGTGTGTAGCCTTTTGCAACTTGATTTTATTCTAATAGTACATTTCTAAAATTTACCCATGTTGATACATATTGCTCTAGTTCATTAATTTTAATTGCTATGTGGAATACATTCATATACCAAATTTACTTATCATTTCTCCTGATTATGGAATTTAGATTGTTTCCAACCATTTTAGATTGCTTTAGATTTTTATTTTGCTACTACACAAAAATCTACGATGAATATTTTTATAAATGTCTCCTAGTGCTCATATGTGAACATTTCTCCAGGCTATGTATCCAGGATTGGAATTGCTACCATGCAAGACATGTGCATCTTCCACTTTACTAGCATGATTACTAGTCAAGTTATGAATCTTTTTTATATTATCAGTGGTCATCTTAGATTCCTCTTCTGTAAAATGCCAGTTAATAGCCTTGCCATTTTTTTATACCATGTGGGTGTTGTTTGCTTTTTGGGTTTTGGTTAATCTTCAGGAATTCTGTTTACTCAAACTTAGTTACATGTGTTACAAATCTCTTCTCCCAGCATGTGGGCTTGCTTTTCCATGTTGTTTATAGTATTTTTCTTATTTGTAAAAAAGTATTTAATACTAATGTAGCCTAACAATTTATAATTTGTGTTTTTTGCCTTTTTTCAGCTTTATTAATGTATAATTGACAAATAAAACTGTAATATATTTCAAGTGTACATCATGATTTGATATACATATACATTGTGAAAAAATTCCCACCAAGTTAATTAACACATCACCTCACATATTTGCCTTTTTTTTTTTTGAGAACAGTTAAGTTCTACTCTCTTAGAAAATTTCAATTAGACAATACATTATTATCAACTCTAGTCACCATGTTATACATTAGCTCCTCAGATCTAATTCATCCTATAACCGAAAGTTTGTATCCTTTTACCAACCTCTCCCTATTTCCCCCACCCCCAAGCCCCTGGCAACCACCATTCTACTCATAATTTGTGTTTTTTGTCCTGAGACATCTCCCTTATCTTCTCCTCCCAGAGGTCCTAAGGACAGTGTCCTATATTTTCTTCTATAAATTTTAAGGTTTTTTCATTTCAAGTCTTTAATCTCTCTGGAATTAATTTTTGTGTGTAGTGTGAGATAAAAGTCAATTATATTTCTTTCTGTCCCAATACCATTTATTGAATGACATCATTTCACCACTGATTTCTAACTCCACCTAGGTCATAAATCAAGTGGATCTGTTTCAGGACTTCCTATGCAATTTCACTGACAAGTCTTTAGAGTGGAAGGGAGCCTACTAGTAATTACTGGGACAACAGGCATAAACTGGAAGTGTCCCAGGCAAACTGACATGTATGGTCACTCTATCCACATGCCTATACCTGGACCAATACCACACCGTCTTAATTATGAGAGCTCTATAATGACCTCTCTATACTAGGGACCATGTTTTTAGATTGCCATGGCTCTTCCAGATGAATGCTAGGATTAGCTTAATAAGATCCATAAACCATATTGAGATTTTGATGGGAATCACAATGATTTTATAATCTGAAGAGAACTGCTATCTTTACAATATGATTCTTCCCATCCATGTACACATTGTATCTCACTTATAAGTCTTCTTTTATGTCCTTCAATCATATTGATTTTTTTTTCCACAGAGAGCTTACACATTTTTTATTATCTGTAGTCTTTGGTACCTCACAGTTTTGTTGCTATTTGTGAATAGGATTTTCTTCATAGAAGCATTCTCATTTTGCTTCCAATTTTAATGGGAATGCTTCTAATGTCTCACCATTAAGTATGATCTTTGGTTTAGATTTTCAGTAGAAACTCAATATTAGGTTAGGAGAATTACCTTCTACTCCCAAACTGCTAAAAGTGTAAGGAATAGATATTTAATTTTATTGTCACTTTCAGTATTGAGATTATTTTATGGTTTTTCTCCTTTAACCTATTAATACATTATAGACTAGTAGATTTTCTAATGTTGAAATTCCCTTGCATCCTGGGGAAACCTACATGGCCATACTTTTTTTTTAATGTGCCACGTATCACTGAGTCTAAAACTCCATTGATTGTAAAGATGCACCGTTACGTCATGTGCCATTAAAATAGAGAACACATTGACAACTATAATTTTAGAAGCCATTTATTTTAAATATCCCAATTTCAGAGATACTAAATTGAAAAATAAGTTCATCTTATCATTGATAAAATATAATATATACACTGTTAAATTTGATTGTTTTTTATTTAGAACTTTTGCTTTTATATTCATAAGTCATATTGTTCCACATAACATTCTCTTCTTGTACTATCCCTGTCAAGCTTTGTTGTCAAGGTTTCACTATCTTCATAAAGTGAGACAAATGGTTTTTCAAATTTTCTGAAACAACTTATATAGGATTCAATTATTGCTTTCTTAAAAGTAAAAGAGAACTCATCCATAAAAGCATGTGGAGTAAAAGAATGTTCACAGCAGCTATATTTGTAACAGCTCAAAACTGGAAAAAACTCAAATGACTATCAACAGGTGGGAGGATAAACTGTCATATATTTATACAGTGGAAGACTACTCACCAATAAGGAAAGACCTATTGATATATATATATATATAATTAGATGAATCTCAAAAACTTTATGTTGATCAAAAGATACTAAACGAAAAATATATGATGTACGATTCCATTTATAAGATCTAGAGCAGGTAAAACTAAGCTATGGTGACAGAAACCAGAATAACTGGTGACCGGAGGAATAGAGGATGTGAACTGGAAAAGAGCACAAGGAAACTTTCAGGGTGATGGAAACATTCTGCATCTTGACTGGGATGGTGGTTACACAGGTGTACACATTGTGAAAACTCATCACCGCATATGCAGTACCTGTGCATTTTACCACGTGTATTTCAATTTTAAAAATAAAGGGGGGGATAAGAAATACCTAAAAAAATACGAGATTGGAGTCTTATGGAGGGATAACTTTCTGTTACAGATTCACTTTCTTTAAACATTTTTATTTTATTCAGATAATTTCTATTTCTTCTTGATTAAATTACAGTAGTTTCTATTTTTCTAATATCCATTTCATCCACATTTTCACTACTATTGGAATACAGTTATTCACAGTATTCTATTATTT